GAGGGAGGGAGGGAGGGAGGGAGAGAGAGAGAGAGGGAGGGAGGGAGGGGGAGAGAGAGAGAGAGAGAGAGAGAGAGAGAGAGAGAGCGAGAGAGAGAGAGAGAGAGAGAGAGAGAGAGAGAGGGAGGGAGAGAGAGAGAGAGGGAGGGAGGGAGGGAGGGAGGGAGGGAGGGAGGGAGAGAGAGAGAGAGAGAGAGAGAGGAGAGAGAGAGAGAGAGAGAAAGAGAGAGAGAGAGAGAGAGAAAGAGACGAGAGAAAGAGAGAGGACAGAGGGAGAGAGAGAGAGAGAGAGAGAGAGGAGAGAGAGAGAGAGAGAGAGAGAGAAGAGAGAGAGAGAGACTGAGAGAGAGAGAGAGAGAGAGAGAGAGGGAAAAAGAGAGGGAAAAAGAGAGAAAGAAAAAAGAGAGAGAAATAAGAAAGAGAAAAAAAGAAAGAGAAAAAAGAAAGAGAAAAAAGAGAGAGAGAAAAAAGAGAGAAAAAAAGAAAGAGAAAAAAGAAAGAGAAAAAAGAAAGAGAAAAAAGAGAGAAAAGAGAGAGAGAGAGAGAGAGAGACAGACAGACACACAGAAACAGAGAAAGACACAGAGAGAGATAGAGAGAGAGAGAGAGAGAGAGAGACAGACAGACAGACAGAAACAGAGAAAGACACACAGAGAGAAACGGAGACAGAAAGCGAGGGAGAACCCGGCAGAGTCCTACTGCCTCCCACTCGACTCCGTCACCGCCGCCTCGTCTCGTAACGCCGCGAATCGTCCTGCGCGCCGGCCAGCCGTGTTGCCCGTCGGGAGGTTCCCACGATACCGAGGGGGGAGGGGGAGGGGGAGAAGGGAAAAGGGTGGGAAAAGGGGAGGGGGAGGGAGAGGTGGAGGGGCGATGGGGAGAAGGGAAAAGGGTGAGAAAGAGGGAGGGAGGGAGAAGGATGGAGTGAAAATTGGATGGATTGAGACAGAATGAAGGAAAAACAAGAGCGAAGGATAAGTGAGGCGAGAGGAAAATAGAAAGAAAATAAAGAAAGAGAACCGTTACAGATAAAGGGATAAGGACGAACAAGGCTGTCGGACTAAAAACGAGGAAAGACAAAGAAAGCAATAAAAGAGAGAGAGAGAGAGAGCGACAAACGGGAAGTAACACCAACACGCTGGTAGTCTCACCTCGTTATGGAGACCGCACAGAGAGGCTAAGGAAGGGGGGGAGGAGGGGGAGGAGGAGGAGGAGGAGGAGGAGGAGGAGACAGAGGAGGAGGAGACAGAGGAGGAAGGAGGAGGAGTAAGAGGAGGAGGAGGAGGAGGAGACAGAGGAGGAGGAGACAGAGGAGGAAGGAGGAGGAGTAAGAGGAGGAGGAGGAGGAAGGAGTATAAATGAGGAAGAAGAAGGAGGAGGAGGAGGAGGAGGAATGAGGAAGAAGAAGGAAGAGGAAGAGGAGGAGTCGAATAAATGCGAAGGAAGAAAGAGGAGTCGAAGGAAGGAGGAGGAGGAGGATTAACAAGGGGGGGGGGTAGGAGGTAGGGGGAGAGAACAAGACCGTAACAATATCATATAACAAATTAAGCCTTAAACGAACAAGGCGGATCCTCATTAACGAACGCCCAACCGCCGGAGCAGAAGCGAAAGGAAAACGAAGAGAAGAAGAAGAAGAGAGAAAAATCGGACTGGAATCGGCGAGCGTCACGGCAAAAGCTCCACTCGTGTCTAGGCCTACATGACCTTCCGCAGACATAGGCCTAATCTCGACGACCCCAAGTTGGCCAGTGCCGCCCGCAGAGCTATAGGGGGGGGGGGGGGAGAGAAGGAGGAGAAAGGGGGGGGGGAGATCTGGAGCGGAGAGGGGAAAAGAGGAGGAGAAACGTGGAAAGGAGGAAGAGGAGAAGAGGAGGAGGAGGAGGGGGAAGAGGAAGAGGTGGAGGAGGGAGAAGAAGAAGAAGAAGAAGAAGATGAGATAGAGGAGGAGGAAGCAGGAGGAAAGGAGTGTAAGAAGAAGAAGGAGGGGATAGAAAGGCAGCAGGAAGAAGACCATATAAAGAGGAATGAAAAAAAGGAGAGAAAGGAAGAAGCAGGAGAAAAAAATACCTTGAGAATACGAAACGAGGAGGAAGGAAAACGAAAAGGAAACCGTATAACATGGCGGGGGAAAGAGAGAATAAAAATAGACAAGAAAAGGAAGATAGAGAAGGAAGAACAGCAGGCCGAAATAAACGCCCCCCCCCCCTTAAAAAACAATAAAACAAAAAAAAAGAAAAAAAAAACAATAAACCGAAAGACGCCACATCATCAAAACATCCTAATTCACCCCCCCCTCCTCCCTCACCCCCCACCCCCACTTACCCCCATTTCCTCCCTCCCCAATCCCTAATACTTCCCCACTATCTATCCTCCCCCCCCCCCCCCCTACCAACTCCCCCGCCGTCGCCAAACCCCACAGGAAACGCCAAAGGAACTGCCCCTCCTTCCCTCCTCTCCCTTGCCCCCTCCCCCTCCCTTCTTCAACCCATTCCACCCCCTCCCTCCCCCTCCCCCCCTTCCTCCAGCCCGGGGCGACACCGCAAGCCGATGATTTGCGTTGACCCCGACGAGGGAGTCAGAGGAAGGGGGGGGGGGAGGAGGGAGGAGGTATGGAGAGGGGGTTAAGTAATGGGGAAGGGGGAAGGGGAGGGGGGAGGGACGAAGGAGGGGAAGAGGGAGAGGGAGAAGTAGAGGGAGAAGGAGAAGGAGAGGGAGGGGGAGAGGGAGAGGGAGAAGAAGAGGGAGAAGAAGAGGGAGAGGGAGAGAGACAGGGGGAGGGGAAGGGAAGGGGATTAAGTAATGGGGAGGTAGAAGAGGGAGGGGGTAAAGGGCGCATGGGGAGGGAGGCAAGTAATGGGGAAGGAAGGGGGGGGAAGAAAGCGAGAGTGGGGGAGGGGGGGCAGAAACAACAGCATGGCAAACAAAGAGACGAGTTTCATTCTGGAGAGAAGGCATAGGCTGGGAAGGGAGTATGTATGTATGTGTGCGTGCGTGCGTATGTGTGTGTGTGTGTGTGTGTGTGTGTGTGTGTGTGTGTGTGTGTGTGTGTGTGTGTGTGTGTGTGTGTGTGTGTGTGTGTGTGTGTGTGTGAATGAATGAATGAATGAATGAATGAATGAATGAATGAATGAATAAATAAATAAATAAATAAATATGCGTATATGTGCAAATATGAATATATATATATATATATATATATATATATATATATATATATATATATATATATATATATGTATGTATGAATGTATGTGTGTGTGTGTGTGTGTGTGTGTGTGTGTGTGTGTGTGTGTGTGTGTGTGTGTGTGTGTGTGTGTGTGTGTGTGTGTGTGTATATATTATATATATATATATATATATATATATATATATATATATATATATATATATATATATATGTATGTATATATATATATATATATATATATATATATATATATATATATATATATATATATATATGTATGTATATATATATATATATATATATATATATATATATATATATATATATATATATATATATATACATATATATATCCGTACATCTACACACACACACACACACACACACACACATACATATATATATATATATATATATATATATATATATATATATATATATATATATATATATATATATATATATATATATATTTATATATATATATATATATATACATATATATGCACATATGCTTATATGTATGTACGTATATGTATGTATGTATGCATGTACGTGTGTATGTTTATACGTACATGTATTATATCTTTATATATACTTTTTATATATATTTACGTATTTATTCATTTGTTTTTTCACATCAAAGTTACTCTCATTCCCTAACTGTCTCATCCCAATCTAGCGACATAAAAACCAAAACCTGCCACCCACCATCTCCCAGACAAACGCCCACGCAGCACTGAGAGAAATATTAAAGGACCAGCATCTACGTCAAGACTGTTTCTCTCCTTATCCCCTTGAGGACAATATAGGCCTAATTAGAGCCGTTTCCGAGAAAGAAAGAAAGGAAGAAAGAGGATGAGAGGGTAAAGAATAGAATAGAAGAAAAAAAATCGATCGATCGAGATAGCAGAAACAAAGAGAGAGGGACACAAAAAAAACGAAAAAAAAAAAAACACGAACTAAAGTCACAACAATAATTCCCAGAAAGGAGCCAACCTGGACGTTCGTTTCCTTGTAAACAAAGAAAGAAACAACGACAGAGAATCGCTATTTACCTTTTGTCACTCGCTCCACGTGGGTCCGAAAATTTATCACGTCCTTTTAAGATTATGACAGATATTCTAATACCTTTTTTTCCGTCCCATTCTCCCCCCCCCTCTGTCTACGTATAGGCCTGGATTCTGCCTCGCTTCCGAATACGGCGTAGGCCTACCGCTGAGAGGCTAATCGTGTTATCTCTTGGGAGGAATGAGTGAGGTGGAATAGGAAATGTGGAAGGAGACAAATAGAAGGGAATAAGTAACAATTGACATTACGATGGCATGAGGAAAAGAGGCAAAGAACAACGATGATTCAGAACGAAATCTAAGAAGGAAAAAATCAAAACAAAAAAAAAATACAGAATCGTAAATAAACTGTCTAACAATGTTTCTTCATTCTCACCCTTGCCTGTCGTTCCTAGGAATCCCAATCAATCACTCCAGAAATCCCGAAGATTACCCCCCCCCCCGCGTTCCTTTCCCAACCATCCCCCCTCACCTCCCCCCCAACTATCCCTGGTCTCCCTCTCCCCATGCCCCCCCCCCCCCCCACTCATACCAGGAAAGCACCCTTGAGGTACCTTCCAGTAACCCTTTTCCCTCCCCTTCCCACTCCCTCCCTCCTCCCCCTCCCCTAAAGCACGTGACAGTGAGGTTATGCTTACCCCCTTACCCCTCCCACCCCCACCTCCTTATTCTCCTACCCTTTTACCCCCCCCCCCTTGTCCTCCCTCCCCTCCTCCCTCTGACCTGACCCTCCCGCGGCTTACCTCAGCGAGTCCTCACGTGGTCTGCCTGTCCGCTGACCCCAGCCCTGCAAAGGCCTCTTCTCGAACCTTGGGATATGACATGGCGATAACAGAAGTCTTACCGCTCTATCGACTTCACCTAGCATCTTCCCCATCCTCCATATAACGACCCACAAATAGTAACCATCAAGAAAGACCCAATTAAACGGCGCTGCACTTTCCGCCGAGCCATGGCACCTCGCATGCCCCCGGGTAAATTTACTCTTGCGGCCACAAGCTCTGACGTTCGAAGAAATGTGTTCCTGAATTCAGTTTCTCTTAATTTCCTTTTTTTTCTTAAATTTCTCCTCAAGGTCATCTGAGTACAAGAAGGGTCCGGCTAACCTCTCCTAATTTTTAATAATTGTATGAAAAGCGACAAATCAATTTTTCTCTCTCGTACCTCCATTAAATTTTCCTCCAATTCAATACACCCTTGTAAAAAAAACAAGATTATATATATTTATTCCTTTTAAAAAGATTATGCAAATATCTAACCCCCATAAAAACGTACTTAATTACTTAAAAATGTCTTTCGGACCGACAGGAATTTTGAGAATTCGTTTCAAATGCTCTCTCAAAAAAAATCATGAATAAGATTTGCCATTTCCAAGAACCGCAAGTGAAAAAGGCAATGACAACCTTACGTAAAGTTAACACGTGATCTCCTCTGCCTCTTTCAAGGATCCTCTACATGGCCAGTGGTGCCTGCGAGAGGGAGCCAGCCAGGTCGTCATAAATTTGCCAGCATGCGGTTTGGATTCGTATTGAATTCCATCCGCGCTCGCCTCTCCCTCCCGCTGGATTTAATCTCGGCCTCTCATTCTCTTTGTTCTTTTATTCTCCTTCTCTTCTTCCTACTTCTCCCTCTCCCTTTTCTTTCCTTTACCCACCTCCTTCCCGATGTTTTCCTGCAGGTGGTGTTGGCCCCCAAACTTTCCTCTCTCTCTCTCTCGACGACTCATTTCTTTTCCTTCGCTCGATCTAGCTACAGGTCACTCTTCAGGACCTCATCCCTTCCCTATCCTGCTGGGAAAACATTCCTCTCCTCCCCTCCTTCCATCTTTCCCTTCTCCCTTCCCTTCCTCCCTCTTCTTCTCCCCTTCTGCCCTCCTTCCATCTTTCCCTTCTCCCTTCCCTTCCTCCCTCTTCTTCTCCCCTTCTGCCCTCCTTCCATCTTTCCCATCTCCCTTCCCTTCCTCCCTCTTCTTCTCCCCTTCTCCCCTCCTTCCATCTTTCCCTTCCCCTTTCTCTTCATCCCTCTTCTTCTTCTCCCCTCCCTCCATCCCCCTTCTTTCTCCTCTCCCTTCCTTTCATCCCTCCCTCCCTCCCCCTCCCTCCGAGCCGCAAAAGGGCCCACAGCGGCGCCCCCGCCCTCATGCTGCACCTCATGAAAGGCCGCGACGAGAAATATGCAGCCGACCTTCTTCGCCGAAACGGAGCCTCGCGCGTCAGACTCGAGGGGGAAAAACGCGAGGAATTTTCAGCGAGAGATGTGAGTGCATGTTACTCGGGCGGAGGGAAGAATTTCATTTCGTTTTTTTTCTTTTGTCACAGATGTGTTGCGTGTATATGGCAAATATATTTGGGCATGTGAGAATTCACACAGATGCACACTCACACACACACACACATACTCACATAGATAGATAGATAGAGCGACAGAGAGAGAGAGAGAGAGAGAGAGAGAGAGAGAGAGAGAGAGAGAGAGAGAGAGAGAGAGAGAGAGAGAGAGAGAGAGAGAGAGAGAGAGTCGACAGTTTGTGCTTGAAAGTAAACTTCGCTGACTGTGATGACAGAATAAGAAGCCCAGTAATATTGCGATAAAAGAATCTGCTTCTTTGTTAAGGCTCCTGAAGCGCCTTCAGGAAAGGAAGACGAACCATAAAAATCAGATCATATTATTCTGTTCAACTGCTGACTTTGAACCCAAACGCTATGCAGTGTTGCCAGGAAGTGCCGGGAGGCGAGACTCAGACAGAGATAGCTCCCCCCAGGTCTTCCGACGGCGACCCCGAGGGAGGGCGAGGGAGAGGCCCCCGCCCCCCTTGAACCCTGGCCCCACCAGGAGGGCGTCGCGGGCGTACCTTCGACGTTCTTGGTGGCCAGGATGATGATGGTCTTGACGGCGGGGATGGCCCAGGCGGCGACGTGGAACCAGGCGGAGTTGTTCTCGATGGCCTCGTGGCTCCACTTGAGGCCGGCCGCCAGGAACCAGGTGAGCGTCAGGACGACCCACCAGATGGAGGCGGCCATGGAGAAGAAGTACAGCGTCATGAACACGATGGTGCACCACTCGCGGTCCACGCCCTGCGTGATGGTGCGCACCATGTGCTCCCGCAGCTCCGGCAGGTACTGCGGCGGGTCCCAGGGCTCGTCGCAGGCCACGCGGTCGCCCTGCACGAGGCCCAGCACGTAGGTGGCGGCGATGAACCAGTAGCACATGCTGATGAAGATGATAGGGCGCTCGGGGTAGCGGAAG